ACGGTACTTTTGAAAACCAAACTCGAGAGAAGCAAATCAACAGAGACTGGAGAATGAATGAATCCACAAAAATTACAGAAACAGAAGGGGATAGGGGAAAAAAACCCTTTTAAAACCAAAAAAAAAAAAAAAAAAAAAGGAAGAAGAAACCACTCATATCCCACGCTGTAACGCACGCAATTATTTTCATGGACAACTCCAATGCTAGTTCACAGCCATCATAGAAGAAAGATGCAAGCCCAAAACAACAATTACAATATATGGTAACAAACACCAACGAGGGATTGGTGGTAAGCGGCTTGTTTCAGCTTAAGTAAGATTTTGAGTTCGAGACCTTGTGAATGCAGCAGCCTTCGTTGGGAGACTCACTCACCATTTTCAGGTGCGACGCGGGTCGAGTCCGGATTAGTCGAGACGAAACCTCGATACCGGGCGGGAAACCAAAAAAAAAAAAAAATATGGTAACAAACATCTTGAGCAGGGAATTACAGACCCTGATCAATCAGGTAATCTCCCAACCTCTCAACAACCATGTTACACTGTCCTGGAGTCACTGGTTCTTCATATATACCCAAAACCAGAGCTTGCCCAGTTTTTTTCACAGTAACTCCACCAGATCCCTGCAAAATGAGTTGAATTACAAAACAGGAAAATAGCTTCCATTGAAATTGGCTTTTCACCTTCAGGAATGCTTAAATATAAACACCAAGCATGTAATGAGATAAGAATTTATATGATGTTCACCAAAGAGGTTTGTGAACATATGATTCAAGAGTTCACAGTAAGATAGTATTACAAAACTTGCATTAGCATTTTCTTTGAACTCGAGTAGAGAGCTTCATTAAGAAAATCAGTGTATGTAGCTTAAAAATTCTCTCCTTCAGAAATTACATATTTCATCTCTGCAATTTCATCAACAAATTCATATTAAAAGGCAGTACACACGAAAACGATGGGTGCCCTGACTGATGACACAGGCACCTATTCTCCCTTAGGGATTAAACTTAATGAAAGGCAATCATGCACGGTTGGGTCATAGGTTGCTGTGCACACTCATACAAGAAAATGATGGATGCCCTATTCTAATGCACTATTGACTCAATAATTGAAAACACTTTAATAAAGTTATATTAAAGCAAAGATAAACGGAATAATCTGTCATTCACGTGTTTAGTGTGGTCAAGGTGCACGACAATGTTATGACACTTGACAGGGACTGGAAGAAATATTGAATTCCTGCGAAAGCCCCATATTGGACACACAACCTGTATAATCATTCTCTCAAGAACCATGTGCTATAGCTTTCTAAGGTCTATAAGTAGCCTAATAATATTATCGAAAAGAAGGATTGGGATATATGCAATCTTCCATTTATCAGGACAAACAAACTAATGTCGTCCCTGATTTTATTAGTTCATCACGTGTGCAAAGGGAGGTGAAAATATTTCACATCCATGTAACAAATCTGTCAATGGTATGCCATGTGAGTCATGTGACACTGTCTGGACAAGTGCTTTAAAGAGTTTCATATTATCCATAGAGACATTCGAAGTTGCCAATTGCAAAATTCTGCAGGAAAGGTGATGCAATACAATAGCAGCTGAAAGGATAAGGGAAACGCAACCCAATGCATATTAAATGTAGAGAAATTCCAGTAAGAAAAACAAAAACTCAGCTAAGGTTACCTTCTTCCCGCGAATCACAGCTCCACTTTCTCCCTCGTATGACCATATACTTTGTACCACCAAGGTGCAAACCCAGTTGGGCCAAGAAAGCCAGGTTCATCAAAATCTTTCATGATAGCTTGAATTTCATTAGGCTTCACCTGCAAACAAACCCCATAAACCCAAATCTCTTGCGTTAATTAATTAATAATTCTACCACTAACGCTAAAGCTAGTGGCGGACAAAGAAAAACCAAATCCTTATTCTCCATTTTAAGCTTTACAGTTTATACTCCAAAATTGCATGACAATGACGTAATTAATGGTAATAGATACGACCTCTATATGAAAAACCGGGGAACCTTTGGAACCAATCCCAAAGTGCAAAAATTGCAAATTGGAAACTCCTTGGAAATCCAATCAAGAAAAAAAAAAAAAAATAAAAAATAAACTTGTTCTCTCTTAAATCACTAAGAGAGAGATGAGAGAGAGGGGTAGAGAGAGAGAGCGAGATAGCAGGTGTTGGATTTGGGATTGCCAGAGAGCATAGAGTGGGAATCGACAAAGGGAGCAAAGCAATCGACGTTGGATAGGTCAAAATAGGGAAAGGTAGCAAGACCAGACTAGTGGGACAAGTAGAAGGATTAGGGAAAGGAGTCAGATCCATGGAGGTTTTGATAGGGCCCTATACAAGTAGGCATCTGCTTTCTATTTCACAAACTTCCCGAATCACTAGAAGTATGAAGATATGTGGAAATTGTTCTTGACATTTGGAAGAGTGTATGCAATATACAGCCCCAACAAAAAAACAAAGAAGGCAAAAGATTTGGGTTTGTGCGTTATCTGGAAGTTAAGGATGAAAAGTCCTTGGAAAAAAGGCTGGACCAAATATGGATTGAAAATTAGAAATTGAAGGTGAATGTACCAAGATTTAAGAAGGAGTTCAATGTAATGGAGAAATTGAATGAAAGTAGGGACAACGAGTACTAACCCATGGGAAACCAGCTTGTGAAGAATTATTGCTCGTATGCGGAAGTACTTACAGGAAAAGGTACTCAGCATCAGGAGGAAGGAAACGGATTAGCAGGCTTTCAAAAGATTTGGGTAGAAAAAAAGGAGCAAACACGAAAGGAGATGGAATTCAATCTGATGAGAGAAGAATGGGAATGGTTAGAACGGTGCTATTGGAACTCTAAGATCCACAGAGTTAGCACCAATAATCTAGGAAAGACTATACATGGAAGGAATGTTCTCCATCAAAACAAGAGCAATGGGAGGCAAGCTTGTTTTATTAGACAGTGAAGATAAAGAGGAATTAAAGGAGATCATAGAAAATGCTAAGGCATGGCTAAACCAATGGTTTGATGATGTTACACCATGGGATCCCACTATGGTAGCAACTAAAAGAACAGTGTGGCTCAAATGCTTTGGCGTTCCTCTGCATGTATGGGGTTTGGAGTTCTTTGCATCCATTGCAAGCGTGTGGGAGAAGTTTATTTCTTTGGATGATAATACGAGATTGAAAAAGAGATTTGATGTTGCTAAAGTCTTAATCTTTACAACAGAAAAGAAAATTATTTCAAAAGGGCTTAATTATAAGATTAACGGTCATTTATATTGCATCCAGTGCATGAAGGAAGATTTAAGCATAGGGGGCCCTTCATTAAATCACAATATGCTTCGAAATCCAAATATTTTTCTAATGAAGGTGAGGACAAATCAAAGAATTCAGATTGGGTGAAGGAAAGCACTCTCGAGTCTAGCAGCCATGGATTCCAGCATGAAGGAGATGGACCAACCGAGCCTAGTGAAGAAAAAGAAGATGACATGACTTATAACCGTTGGCGGGTTGGTGGTCAAGAGGAAGGTTTTTTCAAATTGAATGGCAACAGAGGTGAGAAGTCAACAAACATTTATGAGAATGAGGAATGGAGTACAACAGACAGAAGAAAAGAAAAAAGTGTGCAGGAAGAATTTAATGAAGTTATTGGTGATTGTGTAAAGGAGCCGAAAATTGGTAATCACAGCAACATTGGAAAACGAAATTAGCAGCTGAAGATCCAAAGTCATGGCAACTTTGAAAAAGGTGTCCAACAACCGGACAAACACAAGCTCACAAGGGTTAATTATGTTGATCAAAAGATAGCCCATGTTTCAAATGGGTCAGAGGAAGTGGATCAAGCCCAAGAAGCTGAAAGGGTTAAATTAAGAGAGGAGAACAAAGGGGACTCGGATGAAGCCCAAACCAGATTAGAGACATCCTGAGAGTGTGAAGCAGATCAAAGAACCAGGGGAGAGTTATGTAAAGAAAATAGGGACAGAAGCAAGAATAGCTCCAATCAATTATGGCCAGTCAACTTTGATAGCAGAACCATAGAAAGGATCTCACAAGTGGAAGAATTAGATTTGCAAATGCAATCCAAGGGAGCGGAAGCAGAGCATATAGAGGAGAAAGCCGAAGTAGAAGTTGTAGAGGGGAAAGCCAAAGCAAAAATCACAGAGGAAAAAGCAGAAGCTGAACCTATAGAGGAGAAAGTTGGAGCCGAACCTACAGAGGAGAAAGCTCAAGCCAAACTTGTAGAGGAAAAAACTGAAGTAGAAGAAGAAGGAGATTCGTTCTGGCAGGGTATAGAAAGCGACTCCGGCAGAATTGCAGAATGGATAAGAGTGGGTGAAAGGAAAAACTTGAAAAAAAGAATTTGCAAAAAGAAGAAAGTCAGATCTTGCATGTCTGTGTACCATATTTCTTCTATGGGGGTGAACCAAGACAGATTTACAAAAAAGGGAGGCAGAGTCAGCTCGAAGAAAAATCAAAGGGAGAAATTAACAACATTTATCACAAACCCAATGAAACCAGTTGCAAGAGGGTCAATTTTAGATAGTGGCATTTGAAATCGCAATAGAGGAAAGGAAAAGAAAAATAAAAGCTCTATTGAAGATGAAATTTGGAAGTTTGCAAAAGTAGTAGGCATCACAGCAAAAGGTAGCGAAGAGGAGGTTGTAACGAGGATTGCAAAACTAGAGAAAAGAGATAGACAAGCCATGAAGCAGCTACTGCAAAAGGGAGACATAAATGGAAAGAAGATCAATAATCTAGCTCCATGAATTTACTATCATACAACATTAGAGGATTAGGAGGGAAAGGAAAGAAACATTTAATTAGAGAGCTAGTTAATAGGGAGAAGATGAATTGTTGGCAATCCAGGAATCAAAGTTAGAGGTGATTAATAGACAATTGTGTAGATTATTGTGGGACTCGGAGGATTTTGATTTTGTGGCAAAGCCATCAAATGGGCATTCAAGGGGTTTAATATGCATATGGAATAAGGAAATACTCAGTATGAGTAGAATAATAGAAGGCACAATTTTGTAGGAGTTTCTGGGTTATGGGGAGCAATTAAAATTCCAGTCTACATTATGAATGTGTATGGCCCATGTGAAGCAGCTAGAAAAAGAATGTTATGGGAGGAGTTGCAGATGAGGATTGATGAGAATAGAGGAAACTGGTGTCTATTGGAGGACTTTAATGCTACAAGGAGTCAGCATGAAAAGGCATGAAGCAATAGCCAAACAAGCACTATGAGACAATTTGAGGAATTTATCAAGGAAGCAGGACTGGTAGATATCCCATTACTAGGGAGAAAATTCACATGGCACCACCCTAATGGCTGTTCAATGAGCAGACTCGACATGTCCTTGCTACTTGAAGAGTGGATAATGATATGGCCAGATATGAAGCAGTGGGGTCTTAATAGATTCTTATCTGATCATTGCCCCATCCTGTTGAAAAATGAGAAGACCAATTGAGGACTTAAACCTTTTAAATGCTTTAATGTGTGCTTAAATTAGAAGAGCTTTAGGAAGTTAGTGGTGGATACATGGAAAGATAATGTCATTGCCAGGTGGAAGGGATACCAATTGAAAGAGAAATTGAAGATGGTGAAAGCTAAAGCAAAATAATGGAACAAGAAGGAAATGCCCCATGTTGATATGAAGATTCAAAAGAGCAAGAAGGAAATTACAGACCTGGCTTTAAAAGCAAAACCAAGGGCACTTATTGAACAAGAAATTGCTGAAATGAAGGGTATAA